ATTTGATTTTATGCTTTTCAATCTCTTGATCCTTTGCTGAGAGTTTTTTCTACAATTTTGTATTTTCCTTCAGTAGTATTGTCTTTTCATTTCTTTCCTCATCACGTCTCTTTTTACATTCCTTCGAACACAATGCTATGTCGCAAAGGTGAGACAACGGTTTTTAGAGCTGTTATGGAAAATATGTAAACATTGGATACTTGCTCACATCCTCTTGCAAATTTGTAGTAGACATTACGATTATTTTTGTCCAAGGTACTCTCCCCTACTTAGTTCAGAGAGTCGTGCCGAAGACTTTTGATAGAATTTAATTTTCCCGGGAAAATTCGGTCTACTAAAGTTGACGATTTTGTTAGGGATCCATTTACAGTATACTCGGATTCTGCAGTTTGGATTGCGCATCCAACCTGGCATCCACCAACTTGTCCTGGTTATGTTTCACTGGGACCCTCGTTCGACCCGTAGAAGGCTGAAATAAACCAGTGTATGTACAATAGACAAAAAAAAGAGTGGATTGGAATGTTTATGTTTATGTTAAGGTTCCTTTGTGTTTGCCGTTCTAGGCGCTTTGTTGATAATTAGATAATATTTACGATAAGAAACAGGTAAGATCAATGAAAAATGAATAAAATTATGAAAACAATAATTAACTGAAGCAAGAGCTGACAAAAATAAAGTGAGACATGGTAGGCTTGTCAGAAACACGAAGAAAATCAGAACATATTACAAGTAAAGCGAAACTTTCAAGGGAATCTTAGATCGTGAGGCCTGTCTCATTCTTAAAATCACAAAAACACTCGTAAGAACATCATTGAAAGTTATTCACCTACTTCAACCTACGATGACGAGAACATCAAATTGTAACAGTCTCAAATATTCAAATTCAAATTCTTTATTCATGTTATTATACAGAGCAGAGTACTTACACACGTCAAAAATGTAATAAAAAAAATAGAGTAAAGCACTATTCATTATATAAAAATTCTAAAAAAATTGTAAAACTTAATCCTAATTTACCACAATTTAAAAAACAAAAATTTAAAAAACAAGTCAGGTACCATAGAATACATCACACTTTCAAAGGATAACATTACAATTAAAAAATTCACTAAAACTATAAAATCCCTTACTCAGAAAAAAATCTTTGAAAGCCCTTCTAAAAATATTGGGGGGCATCTCCCAAACGTGAGGGGGCAGCTTATCAAAAAGCCTGATCCCAAGGAAGCCAGGGCCATCTTGACTTCTTTTAAGTCGTCTGTGCGGAGGCACTAGTTGCCCACGGTTGCGGGTTTCATAGTCTCGAACAGATTCACCACACGATGGCCAGAACAAAGATATTGTCACGGCTCTGGGGTGCGTGACAGAAATCTAGGTTCGTTTATTCCAAAATCAAAGTCCAATTAACAGAACAATAATTTATTCCACGTTACTACACACTCTGACACTAATTACTTCACTAGTTAACTCAAACAACTTACCTCTTTATAACTCTTACAAAATTTACTATCTATATTGTATCACAGTCAATCTTAAACTTGAAACTACTAACTAATATAGTATTTTTAATACCCATTTAGAATAACCCCATCCTTATTTATCAATCACGAATCAGATGAAACAAAAAATCACCAAGAAAAACGAAGGTCGATTGCAATTAGGGAATCCAAACCACAGTTTATACCGTACCGATACAGTTGTTCAACTCCGTTGACAAACCATTGATTCTTCTGAAGCCAAATTCTATGTCCCTATATTTCGCGCTTGCGCATTATTGATCGGAAACAACGAATCCTGGGCCGTGGACAGAGTCGGACTAGGATTTTTTGTTGATTAACATTGAGAATATAACGGGATCATATAATAAGAAACAAAGATTATGTGAATGTATAGAGTGAACCTAATATGAAATATGTAAATATAAATACTTACAGTCGTTCATCGTTCGGGAAACTAAAATATCCTAAGCCTGGGCTAGTTCTAGTGTTGTTTTTACAGACAAAACAGGAAGCAACCATGATAATACACAATATTTAAACGATAAAACAGTCAAGTACACAAAAATCGCGAATAACACGGAAAGTAAGACACTCTTAAGCCGAGTTTCAAATTGATGAATTTTCCGGTTACTTTTCAATTTCCTAAATAATTTCAGTCAAAAAACTTCTCTTCTTTTTTTGAAATACAATCCTGATGCGTGTCTCGTTTGACAGTTATTTCTCGCGGGTTCTGACCCAAGCTATCTCTATCTCTTTTTTGCGTGCAGGATTGGAAAGAGACATGTATATGCCGAACTGCTTTTTCAATTTGAAAGATTTGTTCACTCATTGAGCGCATGCGCAAGATATGGGACAAAATGCTCCTATTGGTTGGAGAATTTGGCCTCAAAAAATATGGAGAGTTGTCCAACTGTATCGGTAAGGTATAAACTGTGTCCAAACCACGTGACTTTTGCCAACCAGCCGGCATTTTGAAATTTTTATGAGGTTAGAATACGGGTTGTTACATGTCAACGATGTCAGTATTGATAAAGCTTAGTACTCATAACAGCGAAATTCGCTGTTTTTTGACATTGCTTCGACAATTTGACGTTTTATGTGTGAATCAAACTTCAAAAAAGAGCGAATTTCGCGGTTATGAGTACTAGGCTTAATCCCGTCAAAATAAAAACACATGTTTTTTGTTTATTATTTGCCAACCAGACGCCATTTGCACAGGTCGTTGGATTGCCTAATTTCATGTACAAATAGGAAATTCCTAACCTAATTTCATTTGTGTGTTCAAGAAGCGACATACGTTTAGTCACTAGAACGACTGGTAGTTCTAAATAGGTATTAAAAATTCATACCAGCCTTTATATATCCGCAATCTATTTTCGCCTGAATAAAGCAGTATTTTCTAGATTCCAAGTTAGATTCTGTACAGGGTGGGCCAATTTGGACACTTCCTTATGGAAACACCCTTTATTTTTAAAGATAGAAAAAAATGAACCCCCCACTCTGAGGCTCAAATTTCATGAAATTTTGATTATTGCAAACCGCTTTTTGATATCTTCAACCGTTTAGCTGCTAGAGGGCGATTCTCGATTTTGAGCAATATTGTGAACCCTTCATAACTTTTTTGTTTATGAAAATAATTGATTTCCGTAAAAACTTTCTGGAAGCACTTTTTAAAACAGAATTCAGGGACATTCTCAGCTTTTTTCTATTTGGCGCCAATTTTGAGATATTGACCAAAGTCTGATTTTTTCAATGGGACACCCTTTATATTAATTGAAGAGCTATGATTTTTCTGATTTTAATGATATAAAGTTCGATAGGTTTATCTCTAACCGTTTTCGAGAAAAAAAATTATTTTGGTTTTTGTCATAAGAAACAATGTATTAGAAAGAGACCTTTTTCATTTTCCTTACAGATATAAAGTCCTTTTCTAACACATTGCTTCTTATGAGAAAAACCGAAATTATTTTTTTTCTCGAAAACGGTTAGAGATACACCTATCGAACTTTATATCATTAAAATCAGAAAAATCATAGCTTTGCAATGAGCTATTAATATAAAGGGTGTCCCATTGAAAAAAATCAGACTTTGTTCAATATCTCAAAATCGGCGCCAAATAGAAAAAAAACTGAGAACGTCCCTGAATTCTGTTTTAAAAAGTGCTTCCAGAAAGTTTTTACGGAAATCAATTATTTTCATAAACAAAAAAGTTATGAAGGGTTCACAATATTGCTCAAAATCGAGAATCGCCCTCTAGCGGCTAAACGGTTGAAGATATCAAAAAGCGGTTTGCACCAATCAAAATTTCATGAAATTTAAGCCTAAGAGTGGGGGGTTCATTTTTTTCTATCTCTAAAAATAAAGGGTGTTTCCATAAGGAAGTGTCCAAATTGGCCCACCCTGTACATGTTGGCGATCGCGCCACATTATGATATCAATTTTGAAAGTTAGAGAAAAATTAATGGAAACAACGAACAGCTGAACATGAACAAACTCGCAGAAAATAAAACTAAATACAAAGAGAGAATAAAAGAACAGCTAACCCATAACTTGAACAGCGATAATGAAAATATAAATGAAATAGACGATACATTAACAAATACCATGATTGAACTAGGAAAAGAATTAAAAAGAAGGAAAATGACATCTCGGAAGAGATAAGAAATTTATGGGGGAGGCGGAATCTGAGCGAAGAAGGTGAAAGAAGATCGATAGAATACTCAGAAATTAATAACACCATTAGGAAAATGATAAAAGGAAATAAACAACAGAAATATGAAATGCATAAGAAATAAATAAAATAAAAGACATGAATGGAGTAGAAACCAATATTAAAGAGGATATCATAAATATAACACAACGATTTTATATGGAACTATACCAAGCATACAAGGAACCACCGGAAGGAATCAAGGGACAACTCCAAACTAAAATAAAGAACGTGAAATCAGAACTACAACCTGAAATAATCAAATCTGACATAAAAAGAGCGCTGAAGGTAACGAAAATAACAAAGCACCTGGAAAGGACGAACTAACGGCAGAAATATTAAAATACAGTGCAAAAATAGTTGTTGATACTCTTCATACTCTTGTCCATGGTCTAAATAAAATGCTGAATGAGAAAAAAAAGCCCAAACAACTGAAACGAATCCATAACTATTTAATTATTCTATATAGGAAAAGTGATTGAACAGACCTGAAAAATTATCCACCTATAACACTCCCGAATGTAATTTATAAGCTCTTCACAACAATACCAACCACTAGGTTAACAGCAAAATTCGACGCATACCAATCAAAAGAGCAGACCGGCTTCAGAAAGGGTTTCAGTATGAGCAACCACTTATATATGAAAATCCCAATAGAATGTATGTGTGTATGTACATACACAAAGTGTAGAACATACACAAAGTGTATGTTGCTTTTATCGACATGTCTTTTTTCATATTGAAATTAAATATACTTCAAATAAATAACTTACACTTTATATCTGAATTTTCAGGTGAGGTGGCACTACATAGACTATCCTGGACAAGGGCCTGGGTCTTGAGCCCGCCAAAGGAAGGCCAAACAGTCAATAATATAGCTTGGCGTCCCGACGGAAAAGTACTTGCCATCGCATATAAAGATGGCAGCATCCTACTTATTAATATCGAAACAAAAGCTGTCTTAAATAAATTTGATATCGCTGGGGAAATAACTTTTGTATCCTGGGTACAAGAGAAAGTTGAAGTTAAGCCCAAGAATATTTATAAGTTGAAAGATGAAGATAAGGATATATCGAAGTTTGTTGTAAGATATTTAAAAGAGGTATGAATGTTTAAAAGTTTATAAAATTGTTTTTTTAGGATCTGTCAAAACCCTATATAAGAGATCCACCACCAGTATCTCATTTAGAGGGTTCCATAAACTTTGAAGACATCAAAGGTTTAACTAGTTTTCTGCAAGAACAGTCTGAATTTAATTTGTTAATAATAGGAACCAAAGAAGGAATTCTACATGTAAGAGTGTTTGGATGTTGGAATTGTTTAGTATTAAACGTAAGCGATAAAGTTGGCTACAAATGTTCAATACAAAATGCTCATTTTACTGAAGATTTAAGTAAACTATTTATTACTGTAACTGATGAAGAAAATAACATTCATACAATTTTGTTTGATTCAAATATATTTAAAGCTCATAGTGGGGAATTGTACCATGTTACAATGAAATACATTAAAATATATGAGTTGATATTATATCTTGCCAAAATTTTGACGAGTATAACTGAAACTTGGGAGAGCATTTTATTGGAAATTGATAAGAAGCTTGCTAAATATGCTAGTCAAGTACCCGAAGGAGGTAAGCAATTGATTCTCTTCCTGATTAAGGTTTATAATTTTGGAAAAATTGCAGGTGTCACAGCAGATTTTCTGGCATTACTTATGCAAGGCCTATGTTCAGAAAGGCTTGAAGAATTTCTAATATGTGATTTGACTAAAAAAGGCTTGGAAAAATTTGGACAGACCATGGAAGTCAGCTACTCTAATATTCAATCTTACTTATTCAGACATATTATTAAGTATTCACAAAATGGGACTTTTCATTTGTCAGAGTTGAAGGGGATGGCGAAGTTTGAAGAGAGATTTGGGGTAAGAATTTCACTTTCATAGGCGTAATTTGATGGTGTGGGTAATAATGCTACCGATGGATGCTCAAAGATATCTTTATACCTATTCTTTCCCTGCTAATATTTATTTAGAAAAAGTTTTTTTTGAAAATTGTTTCTCAATTTGGCCAAAATGGACAGCTTCAAGATTTTGACAAGAAAATAGACGATTGGAGTCTATATTTTTTGAATTTGATTCATCTTTGTTAATTGTTTTCCACCTCAACAATGGTCAAAAGCACAATGCAATCTCATGGATTTTTGTCCCAATTTTTTTATTTTATCTTTTATATTTTGACTTGAAACTTGGAAATAGCTCATAATGAAGAACTTATACTGTCATGCCATAGTCAACATAAATTTTTGGAAACCGAACTAATTAATAGAAAATAATGTTGATAATATTCCTTTCCATTGCTCAACATTTTTTGGGCATGGGCATGGGCATTAAGGCTTATAGAATGTTGCCAGACAACATAAAAGCAATTGAAAATGTGGATAGATTTAAGCAACAGTCTACCAGTGGTTGCATCTCAAATGTTTTTATTGTTTTAAATTTCCATTTTAGTATGTGTGTGTATCAAAAATCCTATTTATTTTATTTTAGCACTGCATGCCAACTAATTGTTGTGTATTTTTAGTCATGCACTAAAACATACTGATTGTCGGTATTGATAATAGAGAGATATCGGTGAACCAGATAGCGCGTATGAACGGTAATAACGTCAGGAGTTATTTTTTTTAAGTAAAGCGGTATCATACTTCCAAATTAGAGTTATCGGAAAACAGTTTCACGTAAAATTTGCCTGTTCGCATCCGTTATTCTATAACCGTAGCCTAACTTGTACCTGTTGTGATTTGATTTGTGTTGTCTATTGTTTATGGTCAGGGACCGAGGATTTGCTTTTTTACTATTTTTTGAACAATCCATATTCACTTGAATACAACAAAAATAATAAAATAAACAATAAACATTAAACATAACATAACCTATATTATTCCACGACGTTATTTTTAGGCGTTATTCGAAATAGCGCATAACGTAAATGCTGAGTAAATTAAGTTATGCGGTAACGTTATTTTTGTACGTAGTATTAAAAATAACATAGGCGCTAATACTGCATGACTCTATTTGTGTTACCGATATCTCTCTAATAGCTGCTTGGATCAGCCTTGTGGCGTTGCTTGTATTGTTTTTATACAATTTTTGTTGGCAAGAAAGAATATTATTATTATTATAAACCCTTGAGAAAACCTTTTCAAAATCTCATTGCTATTCTGAAACATTGTCGTTTATCATTTTATCAACATTACATATATTTACATAATTTAAACAATCAATATGATTGAAAATTTGATAAAAAGCAATACAAAGTGTTTGTAGAAAGTGTTTTCAGATTAATCCCAATTCCGATCAAAATGCTCCCAACCTAAAACGAGTTAGAGGACATTTTATAAAAATATCAGCTCACTAGTTTTAACCTTTATTCAAAAGATGTTCCATACGTACAGGGTGTCCCACAACGAAATTCCGCCATTGATTTCTGGGAAAATAAATTTTGGAACGTTTTGGCAGCTTAGCAAAGCCCATGAAGGCCATCCGGGTGAAATATTTTTAAAATCTGATAAGCACTATCATAAATGTTTCTGCTCAAATCAAAAGTATTGCTAGGATTGAGAAATCTAAAAAAAAAAACACCGGTTATATCGAGAGGCCCAATCTTGTTATCCGGAAGCGCGAAAAACTGAAGGATCATAGTGTATTTGTTGTTTCTGATTTGACAGTAATGCTGAGAAGTCTCGAATCAAAAGTTAGAGATGAGGTTTGGAAAAGAACCACTGACAGAGAAACAAATATTTACATTAAATACATTTGGAGAATCCCTTCAATAGTAGCAACAAGCTAGTTGCAGTCCATAAAAAATCACCAGAACCATTAATTGAATACTCAACATATTATCAGACTGTGAGGGGTTTGCGTACTGAACTTAGTCACCTTCTGGAGAATGTACATACAGAGTTGTTCCGTATATTTAAACAGCATATAGCTCGTTTATTTATGAAGCAAGATAGAAAAAAAAAAATGTTAATACAAAGTAAATTGGGATTTACGAGAACCGCTAGAAAATTTAACTTTTATATAAGGTACCTGACCTAAATAAGGCCATGTACCTAATAAGGCCAGTGCTCTCTATTCCTTGATATTGAATCCCATTTTCAAAAATTGCAATATTATTAAAAAAGAAATCTATAATGCAAATCAAAAATTATTGCGAGGGTTCCTAGCAGCTCGTCATATGTCGAAAAAATGGCCAACCACATATTTCATATGTCACATTATAACTTTGAGGCTGGAACTTAATTAGTTTCTACACATGTTTATAAAGTGAATGGAGTGAATGTAATTTTAACATGGACATTTATGTATTAGGACAGCTACAGAGTAAGTACAGAATCATATCTAGATTTCTAGTCACAGTACACATATGAAAAATGTTCAATTGGCATCACATAACAGTGTTTTTTTTTTTCAAGAATGTGTCATAGTATTACCTCAGTGATGTGTTTTAGAACGCATGGAGTATAAGCAAGCACCAAGCAAGAGAAACTGCGGTTCATTTTGTCCTAGTTGTATGTAGACCTATTTGGATCACTATCGGCATCCCAGGACTCAAAATTAGTGTTTTTTTAGAATGCAGCAAACGTTTAAGTTCTATTTTATGTACTATTCCTCAAAAAATAGTATTTTTATAAATAATTGTAATTATTTTAAATATTTTTTAATGGTGGCCTTATTAGGAGCATAGTGATCCAAATAAGGCCAATGGTAAGCGTCTTTGTTTTACACAAAAACCACTACTTATATAAAAAAAATGATAAATTGGGGTTAATATTCAAGTAATAGAAGCGAAACACTTCACATATAAGCTGAATAAGCTCGTGATTTTTGTTGGGTTAGGTGAACAGTGTTAGGAGAAATATAAAACTTCTCAACATGGCCTTATTTGGGACAGGTACCTTATACAGAATCAAATATCAACATATACAGGCTATCCAAGATAAGGATGTTCATCATGGGGATCTCGTAATGGGAAACAAGTTGCGCTATTTAATGACTAACAAAATGCGGTCAACAAATTTTAATAAAAATTGACAACTTTGAGAGATATTCGAAAAAAAAACGTAATTTTCCGAAATTCGGTTATCATTCTATTCAAAAATATACAGGTTGTTTCATTTAAAAAAATACAAGTTGTGCCTGCCACATCTTTTGTATGCAGTTACTAAGCGCGCGCGCTCGAAATAGCTATTTATACAATAAGTTACGAAATGAGCGTCTTTTAGGCACGCGACGTGAAAATTGTCCAACGAGGCAAAGCCGAGTTGGACAACACGTCGAGTGACTAAAAGACATCGTTTCGTAACGTATTGTATACAAGATTTTTTCTACTGGCATTTTATAATAAAAAAACACAATTTTATTTCATGTGAATAAGTCGATTACACCCAAAATCTTTGTTACCTGCTTTTACTTGGCACCTGACACTTTTCATGCAATTTTCTTTTCAAAATTCGACATCAATAATTAAAATCCTAGAAAGTAGGTAATAACACAAAGTTCTGTTTTGAGTAACCCAAACGTTCAATTCAGTAATTCCATTTTCAATATTCATAATAAATACAAAACAAAATTCAAATATGTGTTTAGTGTGTTTTTTATTTCTGAATAATGAATGACACTTTTAGGCACTAGTGCTTAAAAATTAAATTTACGCACTCATAAGTCACTTTTACGCATTCAAAAGTCACTTTTACGCACTGAGTGCTTAAAAGTAACTTTCACGCACTCAGTGCCTAAAAGAATGTCGTTTCAAAACTGAAATGACAATCGAAAAGTTGCTATTATGAAACGTCAGTAGAAAAAATTATAAACAGTATCGGTTTTAGGATGCCTAAAGATGACAAAATCGCAAATAAAAAATCTAGGTCCGTATTTAAAAAACGTAAGTTGAGGATGGCCGCCTGAAGACGAATTTTAAATTTAGTAGCACCATCTTCTAAAGGGGCAAAGTGACAATGATGAAATGACATTTTTTTTTTTTATTGATAACCTATTTCACTTATTTAAAGTACTCCTCAGTGTGTTTAAATCCAACTTTCTAAAACGCGCGTGTTTTAAAGTCACCAATGACAACATCAACAACCAACAACCCGAGAAAGGTTGAAATGTCAATTTTTTAATTATTGATTTGTGAGGAGTAGGTACTGGTACTTGTAGATAACGTCAAATAAAATGTAACAAGTGTCAAGCACGAATTTAGCATTCTACAATTGTTAGTAATTTATGATTTGAACGTATACCAATAAAAAAAAATAGTGTAAAGTATTCGTGGATAACTGGTCTTTAAAACACTTGCTCTATTTCAAGAACTCCGGCTGCGCCGTCGTGCTCGAAAAATCGCGCGTGTTTTAAAGACCTGAATATCCACTTATACTTTAATATACTATTAAAATTGCTTTTCAAATAAGCCCGTGAAAAAATAAAAACGATTTTACAAAATTTCGGTTTTTTCCGAATATCTCCGGAAGTATTGGGAATCTTCCTAGTTTCAAAACGGCATTCTATTAGTCATAAAATTGCGCAACTTTGCCATAATTTAATCGACCCCGTATCTCTTACGGTTACCGAGATCCCAATGATGAGGCTCGAATTTGGGCCACTCTGTACTACATTCCTAAATTATTTTCCAGTATACAGGGTGGCCCAATAATTAGTAGTGACACAAAGTTATGTTTTTTTAAATAACTCCCCCTGTATATCATGACATTTCTGGATTCTGCGGAAAATTCAAGACATATTTCATGTACAATGTCATATACCTATCTTCAACTGTTTCAGAAATATTGACAGTTGAAAACTGCCTTTTTTGCATCTTTGACAGATTGTAAAATCTGAACGGTTAATTTCACAAGAAAACGGAT